CTTTTTTATATATATGATGATTTCACAGTGAGTGATTTTGTTGTTGTTTTTTTATAGCGAGTAGGCTTTGGGGTATCCGGAATTCTCCGCAGTGAGGAGCCCTTGAAGGAAACATAACATTGTGCCAGGGAGACCTGACGTCTACAGCTCACAGTACGGTAGAGTGATTGATCATTTGTAAATATAATTACTGTGTATATTATTATTATTAAATACAGGTTTTATATAGCGCCCACAGTTTGCGCAGAGCTTTACAATATCAGGAAGACATAACAATCGCAAGACAAGATGGATGGAGGGCCCTGCCCGTGTAGAAGAATGGGGCATATCTGGGGGTATCTTGGAGACACCCAGAGCACATCATTTATAGTTACATAGTTACATAGTATTTGAGGTTGAATAAAGACATTAGTCCATCAAGTCCAACCTATTAGGATCTCATTCTAGGAGTACCCGTACCCCTGTATATTACCTGTACCCCTGTATATTACAGTCCCTTAAGAAATCGTCCAAAAGTTTCTTGAACAATTCCACATTATTTGCTGAAATCACCGCCTGTGGCAGTGAGTTCCAGACCCTAACTGATCTTACTGTGAAGAACCCCCTTCGCCCCTTGTGCTGGAATTTTTTTTCCATCAATTTTAGGTGATGGCCTCTAGTTTTTGTAACGGAGTTAATTTTAAACAGTTTATCGCTAATGTTGCTACCACCATTAAACATTTTGTACATGGAAATCATATCCCCCCTTAATCTCCTCACCTCTAATGTGAACATGTTTAAATTTAGTAGCCTCGTCTCGTAGCTCTGGTCCTCCATACCCCTAATTAGTTTGGTTGCCCTTCGCTGGACTTTTTCCAACTCAAGGACATCTTTTCTTAGTACTGGTGACCAGAACTGGACCGCGTACTCCAGATGAGGTCGAACCAATGATCTATAAAGTGGCAAAATTATAGACTTGTCCCTGCAATACATCCCCTTTTTAATACAGGACGTTTATAGCGTTTATAACGCTCTCCTGCTCCATAAGACCAAATTTATTTTCAGTAATTGTGAAATAAAATAAAAATTGCAGTGCCCCCTTGGTTGGTGTTCAGTAGAGAAATCCCCCACCTGACGTTGCTGGTCAGTGGAAACGTGTCTTCTTACATTCGTGGTCTGGTACTCTGGTGACCAGTGGAAGGAGGACCCCCATAAAGAGTCTATAGATCTGTCTTCTGAACCATGTCTCAAGTCCCCAACAACTCCTGTAACATGTTAGCACTCTCTGCCATCTCTTGCTCATAGTCTTTGACCATCTCCTGTTTTGTGTCTCTGACCGTCTATTGCTTATGGTCTTTGACCATCTTCTATTGTATGTCTGCAGTCTCTAACCTTCTCTTGTAGACTGTCCATAGTTCTGACCTTCTTCGGTTGTATGTCTGCACTCTGACCATCTCTTGCTAATAGTCTTTGACCATCTCCTGCTGTCTGTTTTCATTCTCTGACCATCTCTTGCTTAGTCTTTGACCATCTTCTATTGTATGTCTGCAGTCTCTGACCTTCTCTTGTAGAATGACCATAGTCTTTGACCATCTCCTGTTGCGTGTTTGCAGTCTAACAGCTTTCTACAGCATTACATTCACTTATGTGTGATGGTCCGGGGCCACACTTGAGGTCCCCTACATCGAGAGTTGACTACCCCTGTGCTAAACGATTAAACTGTGGGAGATTGCTTGCTCAATCGCTCTCCTGCAAATCCTTCTTTTTTTTTTTCCTGGCAGCTCACATTCAGAATCAGCTGATACAATGAGATCGGTCTCCCCAAATGTTGGTAACCTGGCTGACCTCCGTGTAGCCGTAACATTGCTTGTGAAGTGAACACTCGATACAACTCACCTTAAAGTATAACTAGGCAAGCGTGTTTTGAAGATTTAGCTATAGTGAGGGGTTAGAAGCCTGTCAGATTCTGTCCACTTATGTGAGATGAACTCTAATTGTCCTGCTCACCAATATCTTCGTTAATTAATGTAAGGGTAGATCCAAAATTTTGAGTTGTCACCAACAGGAATAGAGGCGAAATCTCACGATGGGTATACTTGTTCACATGACCGCTGTCAGGGAGGGGATATCCCTCACGTTGGACGTTGGAAAGATATTCTCTCACTTAAGTCTACATGACAAGAAGCGACATTAAATTTCCCTGAGACAGAGATGGCGCCCCCCCCAACCTTCCTGCAATTTTAAGGTTTTCGTACTCTAGATATACTTTTATTCAGCCATGCCAGGGTACATGCATACTCCAGATGGCCACTAGGTGGTGACAGAGTCCTTGTTGGTGTCTTGATGTGTAAACTGTGTGCTTATGGAAATATAATCGTTCACTGTGTTTACTATGTTTTTTTAGAGTACACTTGTGATGATTACTTATTTGTTTAAACAGAGTTTATATACTCCATTTATTTAAATGTTGTATTGTAATTTATAGATCACAAAAGTGTGGAAGTAACAAGGATGCTAGGAAACTCAGGAGCCAGGTTACTGTAATACGATGTTACAGGGGTAATAAGACTCTCAGGAGCCGGGTTACTGTAATAAGATGTTACAGGGGTAATAGGACACTCGGGAGCCGGGTTACTGTAATATGATGTTACAGGGGTAATAAGACACTCAGGAGCCGGGTTACTGTAATATGATGTTACAGGGGTAATAAGACACTCGGGAGCCGGGTTACTGTAATAGGATGTTATAGGACACTCAGGAGCCGGGTCATATGATATTACAGATGTATTTTGTCCAGAGTTGTATTAAACAGACATGCTCTTTTATATTGCGCTGTGATATCATTTTTTAGGGTTGTAGATCGATATGTTTCGCACGTCGGGGACCTCGGACAGAAATGTCCGTGATGTTGTATCTGAGAACACAGAGTTGAAGAAGTTCCATGAACAGATAAGGAGGGAAGTACGAACCATTCTCAGCAGACATGAGGGCATCCTGGGCAGAGGGTTCTTGGAGGTAAGATTTCACAATGTCCCCCTTCTCGTGTATTATTGTAGACTCTGTATAAACCTGATGCTCCTCTTTGGGAGGGACATGTTCTCATCTTCCACATGCTGCCTCTGAGTCACAGTTGGACCTTCCCCAGCCATGGCCAGTGGTACATGCAGCCTGCATTGTCTTCATCATTGGAAGCATTGTTTGTTGCCTGCAGTGTCTGAGATACATTCATCTACTGCTACACTGTGCTATATTGTGCTGCCACATTCCACCGTGTTTCCCCGAAAATAAGACACTGTCTTATATTTTTTTTTGGCTCAAAAAAACACACTAGGTCTTATCTTCGGGGCAGGTCTCATATATTTTAAAGGAGAACTATGAGGTGAGTGATTTTTTTTTTTTTTTTTCCCTCATCCTCATAGTTCGAGCCGACGTGTGACAATTAAACTGTCACAGGTCGGCTCAGTAGATCGGGAAGTGAGAGAACACAGACCGTCGCTCGCTCACTTCTCGATCTTGTCCCAGCAGAAAGTCGTGACTGTCACTCACGGCTCCCTGCAGAGATTCCCCCCTCCCCGCTCCGATCCTCCAGCGCTGACTGGCGGAACTGACAGGGGAGGGGGCGGGTACAGCTGGCTCTGCCTCTAGATAGGCAGAGACAGCTATCAATCACGCAGCTGGGGCGGATCTCGACAGTAATGTCGGGATCCGTCCCAGCTGTGGCGGTTTCGGTATACCTCGAGCTGTAGCTAGCTATATACTGAGCTTTGGGTCACGGGAGGACGCTAGTTTATCCTCCCGTGACCCTTAAGAGAACTATGGGGAAAAACACTGACCCCCATAGTTCTCCTTTTAATGTACAACATTAATATCTTTGACAGAATAGCTTTCTTTTTAAACTCCCCTTTCAGCAGTTTGGTAACCAATCTCTAAATGAGTGCTTTCACTATGATTCCTCACAGGCGGCGTGCATTTGGAATTACTCCGCCTATGACCGGAGCGGCGCTATAGAGGAAGCATTGGCTTATGGGGCTCTGCTCCCTCCGCTGCCGCCTCGCTTCCTCCGGCTTATGCTGGCTCCGCTGATTCTCTCCCGCCGCTCTCCAAGTTCCCCCTTATGCCCCCACCGGCCACAACTAGGTCTTATTTTTTGGGGTAGGTCTTATATTTTAGTAATTACAAAAAAATAGTACTGTACTAGGTCTTATTCACGGAGTAGGTCTTATTTTTGGGGGAAACACGGTAGATCGGCTACTGAAGTCTAAAGCCGGTAGAATTTGATATGAAACGTTTTGTTTTGGAACGTTCATTTAAATTTTTGAATAGTTATTGGGGGAGGGGGGTCAATGCTTGTTGGATTTAGTATGTGCAAGGCCCCATTGGTACACCAGACATGACTTGAATTCCTGTCTGCTCAGTCTATCTGATGCTTGCTTTTTCCCAGGACTCCTCAGGGGTGAACAAGCGTGGTGGTGTACGTGCCAGACCTACCCGGTTGGCAGATGCTGGGTTTACAGGCAGCCTGAAGAAGCAATGGAACAGCCTAAAGCAGGTTTTCGAGGTTCTAGAAGCTCGAGGTGAGCCATGGAGTACTTGCTCTATTATAAAATGATCCTTGTGATTAGGCTGCGATGGAAGCCACATTCCCATAACTACTGTGCCACCTGTCCATTCTGGGGCTGTGGCGCTGAACTGATAGCAATGGGTCATTAATATGGGGCGCAGAAATTGGGGATGGCTACTTTAATAAGAGCCTAATGGACAGAAAGGTTACTACGAATCCTTTTTTAAGCTTTTTTTTTGCACATCTGCAAACCTCAGCTGTCCTATGGGGGTTTTAGCAGAGATCTGGGATGAAATGATTTATGCTCAGAGGGTGATCTGTGACTAGCAACCATCCTGAGATCTGACTTCAGTCCTTCTATACTGGAAGCTTCACAGTTTAGTTTCCCTAATGGGGGGT